TTGATAAGAGCTGTACAGCTACTATCTTTGCATCTTCAGGGTGTGCATCACACTGAGTCAGGTCATAAACTTTGCAAAATCTGATGTGATCAGTCTTTATCCATCTTGATATTAGACAAATATTATTACAGGTAATATATCTATTTTTATTTTCTTCTGAGCCAACCTTCAGGCTGTTTTTTCGCTTGCTGTTGTCATCCAGAGTCCAGTCCACAGAGCTGCCACTTTTGCCCTAGACCCCAAAACTAGCAACAGCAGCCTTGAAGTTTGGTTGTGATGAATGACTCAACAATGAGTGTGAAAGCCTGGGACATAGAGTGCTAAATGCCTTTTAACACTCTGTGTTGCTGCATTCAGTGTGGAGTTAAAGGAAATCAATTAACTGCAAAAAGAGCTCAGACCTGGTGACAACCTGTTTGGAGAAAGTCACTGAGCTCATGTATTCAGAAGGTAAGCAGTACAGCAACGCAGTGCAACATCCATACTACATACACACTATACTGTAGCTACAAGGACCCTTTACATGACATCTTGGCTGTTGTTTACTTTCCTCCACCTAGCATCTCTTTATAGGACATTTGCTCTGTTGCTGAGTGACTCCTGACTCAAAGTTTTTCTTATTCTGCTGTATCTCAAACATTTATAAAGCTGTATTTCACATACTGTATGACTATGACAGGCAGAAGGAGAAATAGTTCCAGTCAATTGGGCATTTTTGACTGTCCCGGATAGCATAGTTACTGTCTACTGTGTCCCCTATTGAAGAAAAACCATACATTGCTAGGTTTCATCCTCTGGGGACCAGGAATGTCTGTGGCTGATTTCATGCTAATCCATCAACTAGTGGTTGTGTTACGTATGCCAGTCTGGAATAAAGTGGTGGACCAACCATGCCAGCATGTCTAAAAACAGGTAATCTCCATCCATCCATCCATTTTCTTCCACTTACCTTAGATTAGGTCATGGTGGCAAGAGGTTCAGCAAGGTAGCCCAGACGTCCCTCTCGCTGGCAACCTTTTCCAGCGCCTCTGGTAGGATTCGGAGGCATTCCCAGGCCAGATGTGATATATAATCTCTCCAGCGTGTTCTAGGCCTACCCCAGGGTCTCCTACCATTTGGATATGCCTTGAAAACCTCCAAAGGGAGGCACCCTGGAGGCATCCTGATAAGATGCCCTAACTACCTCAACTGACTCCTTTTGATGTGAAGGAGCAGCAGTTCTACTCCGAGCCCCTTCTGGATGTCCCAATTCCGCACCCTATCTTTAAGGCTAAATCCAGCCACCCTGCGAAGGAAACTCATTGCAGCCACTTGTATTCAAAATCTTATTCTTTCGGCCACTACCCACAGCTCATGACTATAGGTGAGGGTTGGAGCATAGGCTGACTAGTAAATTGGGAGCTTTGCCTTTTTGGCTGAGCTCCTTCTTCACCACAATGGTCTGGTACAACTTCCACATTACTGCTGATGCTGCCCCTGTCAGGAAACATGCAGGTATCTATCTCTCCATCTCTTCCTGTGGTTGTTTTTGGGCTTACTGGGTGTGGCAAGCTTCATTGTCCTCAGCTGACTGGTTGATTGACACTTTGACTGGCACAGCTGTGGTCACTCTACAATCAAACCTCACAGTATTTAGCCACAGCGCTGCTCCCTATCATTTGCCGGTCTGTTCTGCTGCTCTTGCAGTTTACATGTTTGGCCAAACGTCTCCTGCTACACTTTAGTGTTTGCTTTGCTTGACCTGATTTCTCCTGTGTTCCAGATTTGCGTATGCATAGGCTTCTCTTTCTGCTTCCCTGCTCTGCCTCCCCTGCTTGGAGATACTTGCCAGTTTTGGAATTCATCTGTGGATTTCCTCGAGCTCTCAGCTCATTCCAGCCACCTGAGCCAAGCTACATCTTCCTCCTGTCTCAGTCCCTGCCTGACCTTTTGAACTCTGGTTCCTGCTGCCACTCTTCCTCTGCCCTAGGTGCTTGAGTGGTCACCGGGTTATCCTTTGCCTGACTCTTCGTCTACCTGTGGTTATTGGCCAGCCACTGACCTGCCAGACCTGAGCCCAGGAACCTACAGTATATCTCCAGTGTTGAGAATCCACCGGCACTGCCTACCTTCATGAGAAGCCTGCCATTATGAGAAGCCACTATTGTTTGCCAAGTCTTCCCAGCTACCCCACTCCTCCAGCTGCTGCATCCCCTACCGACAGTTGCCAGCTACATCTCTTCTTCTCAGTAGTTCTGATTCTATCTTGTACAGTAAAAGACTTAAATCTACCTGATGTCTGAGTCCTACAATTTGAGTTCAGTATCACCTCTATTTAAAGACTGGTCTTAACAGCCCCTATCTGCCTGTCAATCTCAAACTCAATTTTATCCTCACTCATGAACAAGACCCCGAGATATTTAAACTCCTTCACTTGGGCACCAACTCACCCCCAACCCACAGAGAGCAGCCCACCTTTTTTCCAGCAGAGCACCGTGGCCTCAGATTTGGAGGTGCTAATCCGAAGTTTAAAAATTATTTTAAATAAAACCAAGGGGAAGAAAAACTGAGACAAACTCAAAAGTGAGAAAATGGCGTATCTTAACAATAAATTTAAGCTGCCAAAAGCTGTCAACTTTGTTATTTGAACACTGCAGCTGTAGAGCAAGGACTCCTTAGTCAGCTAATGGTAGCTTCCAAGGCCTCAGCAACATCGCTGAATTGTGAAGCAATTTTGTCGCAGCTGCGCTACTAGAACTTCTGCATTCATCATGTCATGCACACTAGCCCAGAAATGCATTTTTCTTGTAGAGAATGATTGGAAAAGGAGTGGCTATTAAACAGTGAAAATGTTTTTCTGAGCATCACAAACCCATGAAATGACCCTTTTTATTATTAGAATTTGATTAATTGACTATGTGGAAAGTCTTTGGTGGAGGATATTTTTATTTTATCGCATTCGTGTGTGCTTGGAGTCAACTGGAAGTCAGCCAGCTCATCCGACGACAGATTTGGCTCGATGCAAATGTGCATGGGCCCAAAAACGCGTGCAGAATATCTGGGTTATTTTTATGGCTGGAATCTGGAAGAATTACAGTTTTTTTTTCAAAGTATGTGCCACTGAGTAGCTTTCATAGGAATTAAATAGGCATCATCTAGCATATTCTATCCAATTCTCCCATGATACATGACTGCATTTTGGACAATTTGTCTCAATCTGGCATCTGTAGTATACAGTATGTTTGTGCTAGGAAACACTATGTGTCAGTTTGTTTTCCATCTCCCTAGACCCTCTAGTGGCTGAAAAGAAATTAGTTAATGCACCTTTAAGCTAAATGGCTGATTGTAGCAGAAATGATAGTGGCATTCATCTTCTCATTTACATCTCAGCAAGAGAGCAGCACTTCTTCCAAAATGTCAGACTTTTTTAACCCAGTTATTTTTCTTTCACTGAATTTGTTTTCTTGTAGCTGACCTATAAAGATGAGGCAATGTGTACGTTACTGCCCACTACAAACATGAAATTCAAAGAGGTGAAAAATAACCTACCTGTTTCATCTTCAGGATACTGTACACCTGGCTTCCCCAGTTTATTTTTAATCTGTCTGTGAAGATGATTTTCTACCTTCAGGACCTTTTCTGTACAAAGTGGTATCATTGTGGCCATCCAGTGATGCTAACAAGGAATGTGATGCAATGATTTAGAGAGCATTTGCCTTTAAGTGACATAATAATGGTTTGATGATGCCTTGTCATCCTGGCCTCCCCTCAAGAAAATGAGGCTACATATGATGAAAGTGGTCAGACAGCAGCATGACTAGACGTGAAGCACAGCAGAACTGTTTTATATGTATCCTGTGGCCTTTAATTTCCTAGGATATAGATAGCACCAATTATATCAACTGCTTTGAATAAGTATGTTTAATGGAAAAAGTATGAATTATACATTTTTCCTGAGTCATATCTATTTAATTTTACTTTAAATTGACATAATTTGACACTAAAGGTGCTCAATCAAATTTGTAGCTGATTCAACTCCGTGTCCATCAGTAGGCCCCAGTGTGTTTGGGATGTGAAATGCGACTCCAGTGTCCCAGAAAATGTGTCAGTGCACTGAAACATAGGCTGGAAGATACATAGGTTGGTGCTGAATTCTAATGCCTCCTATGTGCTTTGAGCTTCCATTTTTTATAGGATGCAATAGCTGTCTGAACAGTGCAGCAAGGAGTCGGGCTAATAGTGGGATACTTATTATAGCCCTAGCAACAGGAATGGGATTGGTTGCTGTGGACAGTGAGCCAGCCGGCTATTGGCTGGTGAAAAGGACCGTTCAAAGCACAGAATTTCATCTCATGAAAGGTTCAGTGCAGCAAGCTGCAGTCTTGCAGGGTGGGCGATCCAGCAGCTTATCAATCAGTGGGAGGACTCGACTCCCACTCTCAAACACACTTACACATAATCACTCACGTAAACTCAACCTCAGGGTGTGAAAATACAATTAGCATTTAAACTTAAAATTCTAAGAGAAGCTTATATCTATAAGATGCAGGATTTTATTTTAATGCTGCACTCCTCTGCTGTTTTAGCAAATGTATTATTCTGAAGCAATATTCTTTCATTTGTGACCTAATTTAGTTCATGATTAGCACAATGGCCTTAAAAAGAGTCTCATTTACATTTAAGAGATAGTGTAGTTGTGCTGTGAGCTGGAAGCATCTCTGCACTGCAGCTAATAGAGACGCCGTCTCAAACATTAACCCACAGACACTCAACACATGCAATAGTGCAGGCATATACAATACACACATGCCAGATACAGGTGCAAACACTCAGGCATACAACACACCAGTTCCTGACCCACAAAGGGTTATGCTGACTTCCTGTGTCTAAGTGTAGGCCATGAAAGCCAAGAGAAATGTTGGAAATCTGTTCAGTAATAAATGTACAGGATGGAATGAGCTGTGTTGCTTCTGGTATGATGGCAAATAGCTACATTAAAGAGAAATGAAAATATAGAATAATACAGATAAATAACTTTAATGGGCAACAAATGGCAACCTGAAATTCATCCGAGCATACAGTTTGTATCCCATTTTCAGCTATCACCCTCTCTCTTGCTAATTCCCATTAGGTCAGCTCTTGCTTATTCAGATTCAGAATTTAAATCTATTTCTTTTCTCCTCAGATCTACATTTTCATGTCACAGAAACAAGGATCAACATACAAAATAATGATAAAATAAACCACAGGGGGGGGGAAGCCAAAAATTAAATAAAAAGGAACAGAACATGTATTCTTGGAAATGACTGGAAGTCTGCTGACATGGTTGAGAGAGCATTTCAGTTTCTAATTGTTAGCATAGCTTAAAAGTTAGAGCATAGAATCGGACTCCATCCTATCATTGAGAAGCTGTGAGCAGACTGGCGTTAGGTTTTCATGCCATTTTTATGGTGAGCCATCAACTTTAAAGTACGTTAAAAATAAATCAAAGCATCTGGGACAAACAGTGCGAGCTCATGGCAGCTGACTCATGATGGTGAGATAATTGGCATACGTGGATGAAGTTGTGCAACTGACCTTAAGGCTTTTGGTTTCTCTCTTAAGCCATCACATCTGAAATAAAAAAATTTAGTCCCCAAAATGTGCCACCTATTAGGAAAAATAAATTGCCACCTGTATGAATATATTAATGTCATATTCTATAGAACTAGCAGCATTATGATAAATCCATTCAGCAACTTGCTCATGTCTAAGGTTTGTTCTGAAGATGTGAATTCTCACACTTTGCCACTTAATAACCAACTTTCCTGAATTGCCTATGATTTCCCTGTGACTGTTATTTGTGCATTGGTGTTGAATAATCTTATCTATGTGCTGTACAGAGAGCAGACACATACAAATGAGGAACCATTGAAGGGAAAATATTTGATTTCACGCACATGCCTGCAGAAACTTAAAATACTGGCAGATTTTTTCTACAAAGTTTAACTTGCAAATGAGGCACATTAAATAATGATACAAGCACAAAAAGGAAGCATGTACTGTTCTCAGGGCAGAAAACAAAACTTTTTTTCTATGAAGTGATTTTCCTCAAAACTAATTTTCTTGTGGGTGATGATACAACAATACACTAGACCACCACAGAAATGGTGAATGTATAATTTAGCCATTTTTTTTTTATTATCATAGCTATTATTTCGGTTCTTGTGCAACTGCTACATAATGACTCACATTCAAGATATTTTGTCACTCAGGAACAGCTAAAAGGTATAAAAATGAATAAACAAAAAAGGTATACTGTTAGAAATAAAATATGGTCCATGTATGTGAGTTTATAACAGAAACACTGAGCCTGAAAACTTCACCATTATTAAAACCGGATAGCATGGCAGAAAAAAAGTACTTAAATACTGTTCAAAGAACAAAATATATCATAATCATACTTCAATGTGACAAACACCAGTTGGCAAGATTAAGTGATCACTGGTGGGCTTTTAGCTTCCCTTTTTTTTCTTTCATTAACAAATTAAATACACATATTGCATGTCACTATAGCAACGCCCATTACAGGTCAGTTTTTACGATCACCATTTTGGTATAGCAAATCAAAAACCATAACAAAACAAAATAAATTAGAAATCAACATCAGACAAAGCCTGTTTTTCTCAGTCATATGAATACTTAACACCCACAGTATAAGTTAATCAAGTCAAGCTACTGTATATAAATACATCACCAGCATGCACAATATTGAATAATTGATATTATTGTTGTCATCATCTTACACTGAAGAAACAGTATAGTAGGCAAGTGCATTTAATAAAACAAACACAGAAGTAAACCACAAACTCTGAAGCTGCTTTTATTTTTTTTGTCTTTTTTGTCTTTTTGTTTTATATCATTAAGTCTCTGCCTTTAATAATCTTCATCTCCAAAAGAATCTATGGTTCCAGTGACAAAACCAGCTAATCTGTGAGATACCAAATACGCTTTAGACAGAACCAGGGGAAGAAATTTTGTCTATCCAGTCCACATTTTCCCGCGTCTCATTTTTTTCTCATTTTCATATCTCCTGTGTAATTTGCCCTTTACAAATCGGGGGACTTAATTGGTTTAAAACTGCATCTTTTCTCGTTGTTAGTGTGAGTTTAACATCAATTGCTTTCAGGGCCCATTCTCAGATACAGACACTACGACTGGAACCAATACAAACTAGTTGTGTGAGGCGTTCCATTCAAGCATTTTCTCTCTCAAGTGAATCAAATGCATCTCTATCGCGCAAAAACCTAACAAAGCAGCTTATCTTGACAGATCAGTTCCTATGCCAGTGTGAGGCTGCCATTTCAATCCAACAACAACCACTTCAGGCTGACTGACTGACATATCAGTGGTTTTGGCAAATGTCAAAGAGAAAATCAAGAAGACGGAGGCCCCTTTCAACTGTATATATATTTCTATATATTTAAACTAAGATTTAACCTCCAATCTCACCTCTCTTTTGATTCTTTGATTCTTTTAACACATGGAAAAATAAAGAACTGCTGCTGCGGTAGTATCATCGGCAAAAGCGGCTGCCAAAGTCCACCGGCCCTTCGGATTTTTTTCAAAGTGTGGATTCTCTTTAATTGTTGCCCTCCCCTCCCTCGTCATCCTGCTGGTCACTTGTCCACAGTGTCAAGTTGTCTCGGAGCAGCTGCATGATGAGAGTGGAGTCTTTGTAGGAGTCCTCGTTGAGGGTGTCCAGCTCAGCGATGGCGTCGTCGAAGGCGGTCTTGGCCAGATGACAGGCCTGCTCTGGGGCGTTCTGGATCTCGTAGTAAAACACTGAGTAGTTGAGAGCTAAGCCCAGGCGGATGGGGTGGGTGGGCTGCATGTGCTCCTTGCTGATCTCGTGGGCCTCGTTGTACGCCTTCTCTGATGACTCCACCACGGTGGCCCTCTTCTCGCCTGTGGCCACCTCGGCCAGGTACCGGTAGTAGTCGCCCTTCATCTTCAGGTAGAACACCTTGCTCTCGTGCTGCGCGTCACTGCAGTTCTTGATCAGGAAGTTGTCCAGGAGGTTGAGAACATCCTGGCACACGGCCTCCAGCTCCTTCTCAATCTTCTCCCGGTAGGCCCGGACCATCTCTATCTTTTTCTCATTGCCATCGGCAGAGGTCTTCTGCTCAATGCTCGAAATCACCCTCCAGGAGGAGCGACGCGCCCCGACTACGTTCTTATAGGCCACAGACAAGAGGTTCCTCTCCTCATTGGACAGGGCTTCATTCAGCTCTGTTACCTGTAAGAAGGAAAAATTAACTATTTAGTCACCAATTAAGACCAAAAATTTGTTTAACAGTACCCAACTGCATGTAAATTTTATAAAAATCAATAGAAGATAATAACTTCAAAGAAAATCTAGTGTTAATACTAGAGTTTAAATGATTAGTTGACCATTTTATGGTTCCACCTTCCCATTAGTAAGGAGTTTCTGCCTTTCTTTATTTTATATCATTGTAAATTGAATATATTCCAGTTTTGAAAAATCTTTTCCCTGTTTCCTGCCATCCTATAATAAAGACATAAAAATATTCTTAAAATAAAAACAAAGAAAAATGCAAGCCTCTTTGGGCTCTGGAAAAACAGAATGCGTATTTTTCTTGCAACCCAAATCTTAAGTCATGTCATCAAGAACATTTTCAACTGCTTATTTGATGATGAAGCTGCAGCCAAAACGGCATCTCTTTCCATGAAAGACTCACCTAACATCACAGAGAATGAGCAATATTTTACTTGTCATGTACAAATTCCCAGTTTCCATGGCGATCTATGTAGTGCACCAGGAGCTCTAGCTGCCACGTGGACAGCTAATGCTAGTTGGTGAGAGATGATATTCAAGATAGTTGGCAGCAGCGGGGGGTTGGGAGAGGAAAGGGAGGGGGGTGAAAGGAGGGCTGGAGATGGCTAAAATGTTCCCACGAGCACTTGGGGGCAGCTGCACTATAAATGAAACCCATCACCGCACAGCCAGTTCACGTGTCCCAGTGACCTTCTCTCTGGCTGAACTGACCTTTTTACCTGTCTAAAACACCACACCGTGACATCACTCAGAGTCCAAGTGTTAAATTTAGATTTTGACAGATCAGGGTTATAGTAAGGCTGTTGTAAAAGAGACTGTGTTACTATAAAAAGGCCATATTATTCAGGGTTATATGATTGGAAAAGCAACCTTATGTTGTGTTTCTGTTGCACAGGGCCTTAAATATAGAAACAGCAATCAAGAAATATCTATTTTTTAACCTTTCACCTTGAGAGAAAACTGTCTTTTTTATCTGAAAAGCTCCTCCTTGAGCTGTCTACTGACATTGTCTGCTCAGGCAGAGGAGCTCAAAGATGGCGCCGGATCACAGACGTCACACACACTGAGTGGATGGAGAGGAGGGCTCAGCCTACAGACACGGAGGGGCCTATAAGAACATGCTGAAAGTGCATTAGTCTGACACAGATACATCACTGATCAATCATACAGTATATTTTCTGGGCTAGACGGTCATGAATTATAATTCCTGTGATGACTTCCTAAACGTTTTATGACGATTGCTGGCAGTCAACTAAAGATTAACAAATTGCCAAACATTTCCTGGTTTCATCTTGTGTTCACATTTTATGGTTTTCGGAGTTCTCGATGACAGTAACCTAAATATACAGTATACTGTTGCTTAGGCAAATCAAGACGACTTCAGACATCCCTTGGTCAATGGGAGCAAATAATTAACTGAGAAGAGTAATTAATAATGAAAATTAATTGTTAGTCGCTTCCCATATTCATAAAGGTTCTGGCTGAAAAGGTGCACAGAAGCATGTTACAATCAGAATAAACCATGTATATTTTTCATAAAGAACACAAAGGTGAAGGTCTATGGTTTGTCATTTCTGGCTGCAATAGCAAGGGATTCCCTTTGTTTAGAGAGTGAGAGCACACACCCCTGCAAAAGGGCCTGGTTTGGACCGCACGGGCATAGCTGCTTGTTTAAAGGGAAAGGAATCCCTCCCTGCACACATCATCCCACCTCCTGCAACCAGAAACCCACATGGGCTCAATCTCTCTCTCCTGAGGCACAAAATGTTCCTCTTCTAAGGCATGTATGGTGACTTTATACTATATATGAGCTCATAGGCCGGGCTGAGACTCTCAGGGTGCTATTGGTTTAAGTATGAGCTGGTGTGACACAGCAGTTTTTTGACCCACTCATAAATCTGGTTCCCTAAATTTCTTAAGGGGACAGAGAGAGGAAAAACTGCAACGCAGACTAATGCTCCTTAATACTGGCCAATAAGGGATGAGAATACACCCATGAAGCAGGCCAGCTATACCATCCTCTTTGCATCAAATATTACACTGCCTAGGCTAGTCTGGCTCTTTAACCAAAAAATAACTTTAAAATGCTGCTGGACATCAGGGGGAATCTGCCCTGACACAGAAAATTAGCATGCATATAGACAAGAGCATGCACAGGGAATGGAGTGAATGATAGGGGAAAAAACAAAGCTCACTATCAAATGTGATCATTGACTCCCTGCAATATGACAAAGAATATTCTAGAGAGATTCTACTGCCTCCTACGTCTGTTTGGAGGAAAAAGCAGAGTAAGGGCTTCTTTGGAGAAGTATTATGCAGCAGTCCTGCTTCAAAATGCCTCTTGGCCTTGTGTATGGTAAATGAACAGATTTCTATAATGTATATTATTTTAATGAATGTGACAAAGGAAGAGGGTGGGAAAAGGGCAACAAATGAAACAGCAGAGCCGTTATATGATACATATGGAGAGATCAGGCCTGTATGCATTTCATTGTAATACCCCTTCACTGAACGGCGCGGCCGACAGAAAGGCACCGCCCAAGGAGCGGACGATTTGGACTCCACACAGAAAAAAGCAGGCACAGAGGTGTCCACGAATGGGCGACAAGACAATGAACACAACACAGAGCTTATTATTTCACTATGATGCCTCATTGTAGTGCAGTAACATCAAGCAAGTGTAAACCCAGATTTACAGCCCGCACAGTGGAGGCTGCGCGACGAGCCTTTACGCACACAGCGCAGTGATAAAACAGTCTTCACATACATCCACGTCCTACTTAGTCTTTTTTTTAGGGGACTTACCGATTTCATAGCCGCTGCCATATCATCATATCTCTCAGCCTGTTCAGCCAGCCTGGCTTTCTGCACCAGCTGCTCACGATCGACCATTTTTAAATGATATGTGGTTGCTTGCTCGAGCTGCCCTACTTGGGTTTTGGGGTTGAAACGACTGATATTTTAAATCGCAATGCAGTGAAATCCTAGGCGAGCCTAATGCCGCAGCTGCTCCCTGCTGTCTGTCTGTGCTCCGAGCAGACGGGACACCCTCTCTTCCCTCCCCTCCCTCTCTTCCCTCCCTCCTCACACGCTCTCCCTCGGCTGCGTCATCATTCAGAAAGGTGGGTGTCTGTGCCAATGATGTAACACTCCATACATGGGAACCAGAGGGCCAGGCGTGCATGGTTCCATGGGACCAGCGCTGGGCTGAAGGACTTGTGGGAAACCGAGTCCTGTGATGCTGTACCCTGGAGTCGGGGATGGGTACTAGTTATAACACCACCACCACCTACAACCTCAGAAATAAACATGTAGTTTGACAGTGTCAGCACAGACTGAACCTAAGGTAGAATCTGTGACCGAGCTGTTAGACTGCAATAAATTGTACAAGTCTACCTAATAAACTGATCCGTGCGTTTAAGTGTTCATACATAGCTAACTTCAACAGGTTGAACAAGGAATAAGAAATGGCCTGATCCAGGAAGCAAACAAAGTGCCCATGCACAGGAAGAGCATTAACAAAAAACAAACAAACAAACAAAAAACACAGCGATACAAACATGAGCATAGAAAGCCACATGAGGTGTGTCTCCATGGCCAATCTGGCAGCGAATGAGTGCTGGTTGCTGGTTTATTTCCTGATCCTCCCTCTCTTCCCTCCCTCCTCACACGCTCTCCCTCGGCTGCGTCATCATTCAGAAAGGTGGGTGTCTGTGCCAATGATGTAACACTCCATACATGGGAACCAGAGGGCCAGGCGTGCATGGTTCCATGGGACCAGCGCTGGGCTGAAGGACTTGTGGGAAACCGAGTCCTGTGATGCTGTACCCTGGAGTCGGGGATGGGTACTAGTTATAACACCACCACCACCTACAACCTCAGGGGGTTCCCACAGATAGGCAGCAGGTGAGTGTGGGTAGAGCTGGTAGAAAGAACGGGAAAAGTGAACAAAGACATGAGTAAAACATGGAGTGTCGATATGACAAAGACTGAGATTGGAACAAATTCACTAGTATCAGCTTCTCAAATGTGCATATTTGCTCGTTTCCCCAGTTTCCTCTGACACTTAAATCAGCATATTTGTTTTTGGATGGTGGTCAGAGAGCATAATTAGAATATGTTAACTTGGGCTTTGGGGAATAAAGATTGGTCTTTTCTGAAATCTGATACACTTGCATTTATTCTCTGAGATAATGATGAGGAACATACAGTACCAGTCAGCTGCAGACTTACAGTTCTTCTCTGATTGAATAATACTAACCTGAGGTTTTCTGTGTTAAAAAGTTGATATTTATGAAAAAACAAATTAATCAATCTGATAAAACATTGTACAACAACTGAGCTCAATCTAATGTAAAACAATCCAGGTCTTAAAATTAGGTCAAAGTTTTTTTATGAGAGAAGGGTCACAAGTTGGAGGATGTGTCATAATTGATATTGTACTTCACTGGTGATAAATCTTTTAATTAATGACATTAACGTAGACCCAGACGTGTTAAATCTGGGTCTTGTGTACCTGGGGAGCTGACACACAGAGGCAGACTAGTACAATTTTATGAGGAGTTCTTAAGAGTCAAACTCCCAAAGCTGCTGCCTTGTGGTGGAGAACCTCTGGAGGATTTTTAGACTGTGGGAACCGCTGACTTATTCATGCATTAATGTGTACATCACTTTAAAGTTTCATTTGGTAAAGGTCGAGCTAACTCTTTATTTACTGCTGGGTAGCTTTCATTATTTCCCCAGGGATCGATAAAGTCTTATGTTACGACATATTCTAATTTATTTCTTGGTTACATTTTATATTCTTAATATGAAAAGTAAACTAGTTACAGAATTTATCAAGTAAATGTAGCAATCAAAGCAAAGTACTTGAATAAATCTAGGTAGTGACATGTCATATCTGTAAATGTCAGTACAGCGTTGGTGCATTCGCCAGTTTGACTCCTAAATGTTCAGTTTTTTTTTTTTTATCATGACATATTCTTTGGGGGGCAGCTCACAGGACGTCTCTGAGTGGTAATCTGAGATCCCAGCATTTCCTGTCTTCAAGGCCATATGCGAGTAAACAGTGCAAAGGGCAAACTCTGCTGGTGAGGCTCAATTTGTGCAGCTAGTTTGTGCTGAACACAGAGCACAACATGCTTATCATAGGCAGTGGTGGAATGTAATAAGTACATTCCCTCAGGAACTGTACGTGAGCACAGCTCTGGGATGCACTGATGGACCTTTTTCATCATTTTCTTGCATGTAAAAAAGTTGCCTTTAACTGTTGAAGTAAAACTGTTGATGGTTTTGGTCAAGAATATACCTGCATATTAAAGGATCCACTGATCAAAGGCAGCAGTTTTACATCACATCATCTTTAAATTCAGCAACACATACTTTGAGTCCTTTAAATGTGTAATGGTGAGTGTAAATTATTTTACCTTGTTAATGTGTGAAGTCTGATTCTTCATCACATTAGCAATAACAACTGCCTGCAGCCCCCTCTTCTGGCCAAACATGTAAATGAACACGTGTGAGGATGAGACGTCACATTCGAAAAATGTTGCTGTTGTGAAAGGCCTTTTGGAAATTGCACAAATGAAACTGCAAACACTGATCCAGTACAACCACTCAGGGGCAGGTCACAGTTACATTACAACTTTATTTATTCCTGTAAAAACAACTGTATGCAGAATCTCACCACCTGCATCAGCAAACACAGTGGACAGATGAGAAAAGAACTAAAACTGTTCATACAACTAAGAACAATCAAAGGCTATAAAGGCTATATGTGGAACTGGGTCAAGTCATGGTAAGAGGAGGAGTCAGGCCGAAAACTAACTGCCTCTTCAGGCTTAACCAGTGCTTGATGTTTAAAAGAATCTGAAGATGGCTCAAGCTGCTGAAATAATTTCAGTTTGACAGTTTTTAAGTTTTTATTTTTATCAGTTATTGTTTTTTGACCATTTAATCTTTGACCAACTAGATGAAGAAGTGAGGCCTAGTGTATGAGACCAGAGTCAGTGCAAAAAGTCCAGTTTTAGTGTATTCTCCTTTATGCTTCAACTTTATTGCTACAAAGTTGTTAAGTGGAGAACTTCCAAGGGGCCCTAGATCCCAAGGGACCCCAAAAGCCACATATACTACATCTGTCTCTATTGGTTTTTAGAAATCAAACTAGTTACAATTGTGTTGAAGGTTTCTGCACCACCTGCGTTATTAGCTAATTATCTGGCCCTGTCTTGTGGAGGGGCCATGTAAAAATTCTTTATACTGTCCTCATGTGGAGAATATTACTAATATTACTAAATAAAGTTGCCAAACTACCACACACTCAGCAACAGGGCTGGTTGCAGGACCTAATGGGAACCTGGAAGTGGCAGGTTGGGAGTCGGTGGGGGCCCACAGCAGACATTTGCCCAGGGCCTCCTTAACAGGTTAATCCAACCATGGTCACCAGGTTAGGTCTCAGCAGCCACATGTGAGGAACTCTAAACTGGCTCATGTAACTTCTCAGTGGTTTCTTTTGCATCATTTAAAAAACCCAACACTTTATATGATACAGTTTTAACAGCGCAACAGGCAGTGCTCAGCTAATGGATCTACCTACTTGCTTCAAAGAGGATTACTGGTCCCTCTGCTTGGCTTAGTTTCCTCAAATTAAGATAAGGCTAAGGAGCAGCCACCTGTCTGCCCAGCAGACAGCGGAGCGCTCACACTGCTGTCAATGGAGCCAAGGCTGGAGCTGGATGTTTTGATATACCCAGATGAAGTGAGGATTGCTACTCCAGAGGATCTCAGAGAATGGGAACTTGAGACGGCAAGTCAGGTGTCCATACCCACCGTCCGACTCTTTGTGGCACTTTACCCTTACAATCCTGCTGCAATGTCACCCAACCACGACACTGCTGCAGAAGAGTTGCCTTTTGTACCAGGCCAGATCATCAAGGTAAACCATCTGTTACTTTTGTCATTTCAATAAAGTAAAAGCATTACACTTCACTTTTTATAATCTTCACTTGACTGGCCACTTTATTAGGTACACCTGCACAACTGTATGCACTTCGATGCAATACTTCCACCTTAACACCAGTAATAAACATATAATTGAACTTATGACAACTTCACCAAAAACCAAAACATTTTGAGCTTCATAAACACAGATGTTAAGGCTGAAGTGTTACACTGAAGTGCATACAATTGTACAGGTATAAGTGGCTGGTGAGTGTATAGTGTTCTTTAATTCATTATGTGTAGCTTGTGTCTTTGCGTTTTATTTCCTCACTACATCAGATGGAAAGTTTCTTTGAAAGCACATGACGGTGTTTCCTGTTTGTGCTAGATTCAGGCTGGTTGAATGATAACAAAGCTTTGTTTCTCTGTTTCCTGTCATCATTTTCAACCAACTGAGGAGATTTACCGCCTTTTTACTGAGTCTATCTACTAGTGCAACATACAAATATACACTCAGACATGTTTTTTCTTCCAAACCCTAAAATAAATACATAATACTGTCTCTGTCGCTACGTTTGTTAGGTTTCTGGAGACAAAGACTCAGATGGGTTCTATTATGGGGAGTCCGGTGGTCTCTCAGGTTATGTGCCGAGTAACATGGTGGCTGAAATCCCAGTGGATGATGAGTACCTGCAGCATCTACTCTTGCAGCAGGGATTCCTCCCTGTGGACCACACAGGTACCAACCTTCTGTGTCTGCATGTGCACTAACACACTGGCAGAACAGCGGTGGTCCTGTGTTGAAATGTGACAATGATATAAATAGTAGCAGAAAAATGCACTACAGTATCAAAACTCAATGCAGAGAAATGGTCCTGTGGGTGTAAACAATCTATCATCATCATTGTGGATTAGTCTGTTTGTATTTTTCCCTCGATGAATCAATGTATGGTTTGGTTTGTGAGACAAATGGGAACACTGAGAAAGGTACATCCCAGTTACGCTAAGCTTAGTGACGTTTTTATGTCTTGTTTTGTCCAAACAAAAGTTCACGTCTGACAATGATCCACTAATGTAAGACAAGAAAGGCAGTAAATCAGCACACAAAAGACACATGACCTAAACTAAGTCAATTAATCAACCAGTTCTTCAGTCCCAGGTTTGATGCTGTGTTTAAATCTTGATTTGTAATATACTTAGTCATTCTTGCTGATAAATGTAGTGAAATGGACTAGTGTCATGAAATGAAAAGAGTCAAATAAAATACAGACACTTCAAAATTGCACTTAACTACTGTGCTTGAGTTAATAACTTTTCCACCACTGCAGAACAAAGGCAATACACTGAGGTAATGTAGAAGCCATCTAAAAAAAAAAGACCCTTCAACAGTGATGTGCTGTTGCTGTCGAACAAAGTGTAGAAGTTTCCAGCTGTGAGATGGTGTGCACTGAGCTGCTCCCCGGGGTAAATATGTGTAACTGTAGGAAGTTACTAAAGCTGAAAAGAGGCGCTAATAAGAAGAAGTAAAAGCATTACAGAAATTTTGTGTCACTAACGAGGCACCTAAAATGGTTTCTTAGTTCTTTACGCTCTTAAGACTGATTTTTCAGCAGGTATGATACTGTTCACTGTCCTGTGTGCAAATTGATTTTTATTTGCTTCTTAATGTTATGTGATGTCAAAGCACTGCTTGTGTGTTTCATCCCATAGATTTGTCTTTAACGCCAGATCTGAGCAGCACAGACAGCATCCCCGACGATGTGGTTGTTCGACGAATGGTGGCCTTATTTGACTATGATCCATGGGAAAACTCACCTAATATGGACAGTGAAGTGAGCCCTAAATCATAAACCATGTTATGTCTTTAGTCTCATATAAGAAATTGACTCAGAGTCTTCCTTTGTTACAGGATGAACTTGGCTTTCGTTCAGGGGACATCATATATGTGTTAGGAGAAATGGATCAAGATGGGTTTTATTATGTGAGTGTCAGTACAATGATCGCTGCTTAGCACTTACAGTATACTTACTTTTGCACATTAACTTTCCTCTCAATTTTAGGGGGATCTGCATGGACGACGAGGTTTGGTACCATCAAACTTTCTCCAGCCGCTACCCTGGGATTAGAGAAAAACACCACGCCAGGATGTTTGCTATCGATGCCAAGACTCGGGCACAAATCAATGAGTTTGATAAGAAATAATGAAATGTGTTATGTATGTATCAGTTTTTTAATTGTTCCTATTAAATAATGGCACTGTGTCTGCTTTAGACAGCAAATAAATGAGGGTGTATAGAAACAAGCAGCTAATTAACCCAGTTTATTACCAATATTCCCGGGTTTGATCAGGATTCTGCAAAGTGACAAGTCATCATTCATCTCTGAAAATTCATTTATTCACTCATGAAAATTACAAATCATTTGATGACAAAAAAGAAAAGAAAAAGAAAACCCATGTTCATCATAGACACTTTTATTTGTCTGGCTATATTCACTTTGCTCCGACTTCACTTGAACAAAAAGCCCAACATGAGCAACACGAGTAAATTTACTAAATAAATGTAGTAAATGTATCATAATATGAACAAGCTGAAATATTTCAGTTATGCCTGATGGCAACATTATTTTAGCCTTAATAATACAGTCTCAGTTTTCTGCAGACCAGTGTTTTAATATGGTGTCCATATTTGCCTTATATGCAGTTTTTATATTTTTTTAGAATTAATTTGTAGTCTTTTCAAGTATGGAGTAAATATTTTTTTAGTTTTTGAGTTTTTATGTAAAACAAAACTTACAACAAAATGTATGAATGAAATGATTAATGTTCTGACTAATACAGCTGTAAATTAGGAACTGAAAATAAACTAACTTGAGTTTATTCAATGCTTAGCTGCTTTCTTTTACCTATAGCTCTCTGCTTCCACACTGTTATATGATTTTACTTTACATTATATTACATACTTTTCTATTCTGATAGGTTTTCACATATATCATTTTGCTATTATTTTGTGATAAATGACCACAACATAAAATCAGATGAGAAAAGCAAGAAAAAAGGCACAGCAGGTTTTCATGATGGCCCTAATATTTTTTAAAATCTTTCACTCGGTCCAGTAGTTTCTTCTGTTACAGTCCTTCGCAGCCAACAGTATACTCATCCATAAAGTAGGAAACACTACACTGTGCAGTAAAGTTTAGTAGTGCTTTCTACTTTATGGGTGACAACACTGTACATCAGCAGCTTCTTGTCGCTCCGTGCGCAAACATCTGAATAAATGACAACTTGGAGAAAAACAGGTTTTCACAAATTAAATGTGACACAAGAACAAGCTGAAACAATTAATAACAATACAACATTAATGACGCTTTAAACGGCGACTCCTGTATTTTTAGTGCATATCACTGGAAGGATACAGCAATTAAAAGCCATGATAATCATATTATAGTAATGCCATCTGCCTTCAGGGTCTTACCAGTGTTTGAGAGCTGCAGAAGAAAGAAAACCCAGAAGTGAATGTGATCTTTTTATTAACCCTGCCTGAGCCACGTGGTTCACACAGGAAAAGCTCTAACAGTCACACACACACACCCACAAACTATACATTCAAGGAAGTGCACGCAGATTCATGCTTCTCCATGCACACACACACACAGTCAAGTTAGATATAGCGCAGTATCACACATCATGAATTAGCCTCACAGGGCTTTACTATCTCTACAGCATATCACCCACATGAGTCATATAAGAAACTCCCCTTTACTTTTAAACATCTTTAAACCTTGGCGGGAATAGTAGTTGAAACATAAGTGAACACATCCCTTGAGTTACAGTAAAGACTGTTTTGTTGAAAAATGTAAAAACTGGTTTCATATTTCTGAAGTGTAGTTCTTTTTGAATGTATTGTGTATTTTGTGTGTTGTGCATCAGCCTGTAGCTGCTGCAGAGGTTTACAGGTCCAGCTGTACTTTTGGGTCGTACCTGTAACAGGACATATTTTAGTGTGTTTTGACAAAAGGTTTCACTACCCAGAAATACTCAAAGTACCACCTTAAGTACCTTAGAATTTAAGAATTTTCAAATTTAGGAAGTATAGTTACTTTCCACATCTGCATGCACACACACACACACACACACACACACACACACACATGTAAATTCAAAGCCTACGTCCCTGAAGCCTGAGCAGACCACATCACCACCACCAGCATGATCTTATCCCTTTTAAGGACATGCAGTACAGTTACGAGGCAACACCTGCTTTTTTTTTAAAAGCAGTCAGACACTAAAGCAGATAGATTTACCTCAGGACAAAATACTTTGACTGTATACTGTGAACCTAGTAGATCAGAGACACTTAGCAGACTCATCGATTGAGTGAGCTCATTTTGGAGATGCTGGAGCTGTAATATGCCTTTGTTAGCAAAACGAGTATGGAGTATGTCGTACTTATCGGGCACGCAAGCCCAACAACTTCTGTATAGACTACAGCTTCATATTGCCTTCACATTTCTGAGAACTCATTCATGCCTGCATGTTTCTGACAAGGTGTGGGTGGGGGATGGTGCTGCGAGGCTCTTCCCTGTCCCAGCAGCTAACATGCAATATGCTTGCAACAACAGAAACTTCATAAATACAGTAGAGACGGGCCCGTGTCTTCTGTTGTCATGACAACCCAAACCTCAGAGTCACACCAAGTGAAATAAGAGGAAGTGGGGGATGGGTGGTGTGCACAAACCGAGAAAAGACGTCCTTGTGAGAAAGAAAAAGACAAGCAGACAGTAATGTGGCAGATGAAAAAAACTGGTTGCAAATGCAGGAACTGACAAAGTTTCATTTGCTGTAAGGAACCAGATACTATAAGTCTTTTTTTCTGTCAAACAACACACACACACACACATCCAGAGCTGTATTTTGGTGTGATTTGTGTCTTTTCTATGAAAACAAAGAGTAAACCTCAAGTGTGCATCCTGCAGGTTACCTTAGCACTGCTGCACTAGAGACTCTGCTTATATCACACATCTATTCCTGTGCAACGTAGGATTATATCCACCGTGATCTCCTGGGGTACTTACAGTGATATAGATAGTGTCAGGTTGTCAAAAACAAGCACAGCATCTAATGACACCAGTAGGCATTATCCTCCCAGGTCACTGCTTAGGAGGCCTGATTTAATTATGTTTCATGAATGATGGCTGATCTCAAATTGAGAATCAGTCTGCTTGTGTAATAGTAGCTGTGAGAAGTTTTTCAGAGATTTGCAATTGTTTATTCAATCAAAAATGTCATTAAGAGCATTAAAATGAGCCATGATTGAACAGTTATAATAGTAGACAGCAGCATATACTGCATGGCTGCATATACACTGATCAGGCATAACATTATGACCAGTGGCAGGTGAAGTGAATAACACTGACTACCTGTTACAGTGGCACCTGTCAGTGTGTGAGGTATATTAGGCAGCAAGTGAACATTCAGTCCTCAAAGCTGATGTGTTGGAAGCAGGAAAA